GGGGTTGCTAGGGCATGTAGGAACAAAACTAAGGAGGCCAAAGCACAGTTCAAACTTAATTTGGCAACTTTTGTGAAGGATAATAAAAAAACCTTTTTACAAATATATTAACAGCAAAAGGAAGCACAAGACCAGCCTTTTTTCTCTATAGGATGTGGAAGGGAACTTAGTAACTGCAGATGAGTAGAAGGCAGAGGTACTTAATGCCTTCTTTCCCTCAGTCTTTAGTGGAAAGATGGCTTATCCTCAGGACAAATGTGCTCCTGGGCTGGTAGATGGTGTCAGGGAGCAGAATAGTCCCCGCACTATCCAGGAGGAGGCAGTCAGATTTATGAACATCCAAGCTGGGCTGCTTGGATGTTCATAAATCCATGGGGCCAGATGGGATCCATCCCCGGGTGATGAGGGAGCTGACAGATGAGCTTGTGAAGCCGCTCTCCAACAGTCCTGGATCACTGGTGAGGTTCCAGAGGACTGGAAGCTGGCCCATGTGACACTCATTCATAAAAAGGGTGGGAAAGAGTATCTTGGTAATTATAGCCTGGTTGGCCTGACCTCAGTCTTCAAGTAAGTAAATTACCAAAGTTAAGGTAAGAATTTGCATGAACATCCACTAAAATCAGGATCTTGGCTTGCTCACTGCTAAACCTGACATATCGCGACCAGTTTGTTCTCTCAACATTAATCAAAAAAAAGGAACAAGAAATAGGACAACCACATCAAACCTCTGTTGCCACATTCTCTTCATAGAGAAAAGCAAGGCACAATTCTTCCCAAGAATATTTTTCTGAGATTCACATTCTCTGAACCTCAGAGATAGGGAAAACACAATTCTTATCACTTGCTGTGCCTGTGATGTGCCAAAGTAGAATGCAATATGGAGATTGTTTACCCAGAGTGAGGATGTTTTGTTTCCTTGGCCTGTCAGGGCCAGGACAGTGTGTGTGTGTGGGACTGTCTGCTGACAGTCACGAGAGAGTGAGGTGATGAGGGCAGTTCTGCAGTTCCGTGCAGTTATGTGCAGAGTGAGTGCATGGCAGATTCAGTCTAGATGAAATGTATATAGCATAGTATAATAAAGCAATTAACTAGCCTTCTGATATCCATGGAGTCCTCCTCATAATTCTCCCTCCCCTCGTCGGAGTCGCCCTTGCTTTGATAAACCTCTACACAAACTAGTACATGTACAGTGTACACGAACAGTGAAGACATTAACTTTCTTACAGTGAAACAGCATAATCTGGGATCATCATATGCAATAACTGTTGGCTGTAATCCAACACAAAACCAGCCACTAACAGGCAGGGAGAACACCTCACTGTCATCAGAAGACTCACTTCCAACTACATGATCACAACAAACTTATTGTAGACCTTTATTTTTCAAAATTATGAGACTGTTTGTTCCCATTTCCCTCATCACTTAAAATTTTTCCCCTCTTTTGCCACTGAGTTCTCCACAATTGTATCTGCTGGGCTCTGCCAGCCTGCAGATGCATGCTGAGGGGCTTGGTCAGCCAGGGAAAACTGGTTCCACAGTATATTCAGCAGTAAATGAGCAGGAACAGATTCTTCCAGTGGAAACATAAGGTAACTATAACCACAACCAGTACTACCAGTTTCATGTAAAACAATGTGCTTGTTTTTCAGCAGTTTATAACATGACTAAAAAAATCAAATAATAGTAGTTATAATTTATCTGGAACATTAAGATACTTACAAATTGCATTTTCAGAATAACTAATTCCTTTATCTCAATTATGAAGATGTATTTATTCTGTACAAAGATTATTTGTGCATGCCCACTTTGGAGGTGGACAATAAAAATAAAAAACTGAAGCAAATAAAAATAAATGTTCATGTAAGAATTAGGAAAATATCTGTGTAATGCATCAATACATGAGCTTCTTTTCGAAACAATGCCTTTCAATGCATAAAGTAGTGTTTTCAGCTTCTGGTAATGAAACTTTGCATAAACAGTGGCTTGACTCAGCAGGCTGCTTATAGTGTATGTCAATTCCTTACAGATCAGCTCATTTCAGACAGCTCTCATTTTCATTATCCTTACAAACAGCATGAATTGTTACCTAAAGCAATGTTGTTGGAAAAGAAAAAAAATTAACCCAGTCATTGAGGAAGAGGCCCTTCAGCCTGGCTATAATTTAAGGCAGGGAAAAAATGTGATTCTCATGACAAGAGCCACCAGAAAAAAACAATCAAGCACAAACAGCAAGCACAGAAAATAAGTTACTGCTAACAATTCTACAATATCCCCTTGTATTACATTCAAATTCTAATAGAACACATCTATGCAACACTATGTGTGCACATGTATGCTAAACAACTCAAAGCTCTCTTTTTCACCTATCCATGATGCAGTCACTTAAGCCCAGACAGGAGGCTCCTTGACTTGCTAAAGATGGTTCTGCTTCAGCAGTCTTCAGCAGAAAGCAATGGGAGATGGACTACACAACAATTACAATAGCACAGAGCCCCCAGACGTGAAGCTATCATACGTAAGGAATAAGGAAGCCACCATGCTGGAGTAAGCTGGATCAGAGCTGCACACCATCTCCTGTACTGGCTACACCAAGTAGTTGACTGGAGGAAACACTGCACCACCTTCCCTGACACAACTGTGGTAACACTAAGGCAACACCAGGTACTCTCTGGGTTCAGAACCAGCCAGGAGCCCAGGCTTGGTACCAAATGCACAGCTCTGTTTCAGAACCTATGGGCTTAGAAGATCACAACTCAGGACAGCAGACCACCAGCCTGTTAATCTAGTAAAACGAAATAGCTCAGGCCACCAGGCTGGTCCAAGCTCTCAAGCATGTGGAATTTCCAGCAACAGTTCTCAAATCTGACACTTCCTGGCAGAATGAAAGGAGTTTGTTTCCCTTTGCTTCCCAAGCTGAAACTTAGAAGTGCCTTGCTTAGCACTCACAGAAAGAGTGCTCTCCCCACATTTCCTAAGGGGAACTCAAGTTCTCCCACATTGACGCAAGCTCCATCATCCTGTTAAGCAGATGCCTGCCTAGACATCAGCAATCATCACTTACCAAAAATACTCTTTCACTTCAAAGCTGCATCTTTCACCTGCACAGAAGACAAAACTAAATGAGAACTTGTTCTGCAGGTATAGAATGGCATTTCTCTATGAAAATCATGCTAGCACCAGGGAAATAAATAGCTGCATACTAGGAATATCCAAAAAGAATGAAGTCTACATAGCAAGCTTACTGTCAGGTATCTTCTCGGGAAATTAAGGAATGCATGCTGCTACAGGCCCTGTGAGACCTCCCACATCCATCATGACCTGATCTGCGCAAGGGACTGCGATGGAAGCAGACTGTGGTAGACACTGAACTCAGCAGTAAGCTCCACTGACCCACTGGCTGAAGGAATGAGTTCTTCTTCAGTCTGAAGATCTCTCCCAGATCGCAATCCAGTAAGAGAGACAGGTTGTAGCAGGCACAGGGCCTGCAAGGCCTTGGCGGTCAGAGGCCTGAGCTAGGAAATACCAAAGTCAGCATGACTAAGGCTTTAGAAACCCCTCTCTTCTTTAGAAACCCCTCTCTTCGCATTCCCCGCTGGGCTTCTGCCCTGAGGGTAATACCCAGCCATAACAGACCTCAGAATTTGTTTACGAATCTCTCAAGGAAGTGCAAACCTCCTGAGAGAGGAGAATTTTTGACACTACCCCTGTGGCCCATCCAGAGCCAGACTGCTTTGCAGGTCACTGCCAGTGCTGGTTTAGCAAATGCATTTCCAGGTACCTCTAAGGAAGGCTGCAGAGTGATCCAGGCTACAAAACGAACCTCATTCAGTTTGCAGTAAAACTCACTGACGACCAAGAACAACAGCATGAGGAAAGACGACCAACTAGTCAGCACATTTATTATCCTAATGAGCCAGTAACCCTTGGTGCTCAAGTGCAATAATCCTGGATCAGATCAAAAGTTCCCTGCAGCTGAGTAAATTACCTCAGCTGCTGCCTAGCAGCAAACTGCAAATGGATAAACAAAGGCATCCTCAACTAAACTCTACTTCCAGTTTCTAGCAGCCAGTAGTTTAAATGCATTTACTGAAAAATAGATATTCTTTTAAAAAGAAACGCTAAAGTTGAAGTCCCATCTGAAACCAAGCAGATGATTTTCCCCCACAGGCAACTGCATAGGAGAATAAAAATTAATTTCCTTCACACTTGGTGACATTTCTAAGACTTGGTATGACCATTAAAATCTTCTTCAGACTCTTGACAGGGTCCAACATGAATCAGTGGACAACTTTAATGTAGTTTTAACATTCTTTTCAACAAAGACAACTAGCTTATCTCACACCTTAAGAGAGAGGAAGGCTTGTATAAGCCAGTGAGGGAGGCCTCTGGTCTTTCTGGATGAGGTAAAGGATCTCCAGCTCCCCACCATAAACTCAGGCACCCTCCATGCCAGCAGCAGGCAAGAGAATACATTTACATTCTCCATCAACAGCAGATCAGAAAAACCAGTAAGTGACTGATCACTGCTATTTGATTTTGAAGAGAACTGGAACAGGGAACCAGGAATACATGGTTCTCCACCAATAAAGCCAGGAAGATGAAGAGAAATGGTAGGGACCTCAAATCATGTTTGCATGCAGCCACCTGTGATTACCGCCACTGAAGTCAAGCTCTGTCAGCCCAGCACTGACAAAGTATCTCCAAAGTTACTACATAACTTACTAGACCATGAAGGAAATGGTCAAGCTGAGTTACCAACTTGTGAATCCTTTAACACAGACACCTGCTCAAGCAGAAAAACAAGAGAGGACTTATTCTGGGAATGGACCATGGTTTATGTGTGAAAGAACAAAAAGGCCAATGCACTACTTAAGTTGCCCAGGGAAAGTAACAAAGTCAAAGATGGATGAAGTTGCACTGTTAAATATTAGAGAATCCAATTTCATTCTTCTCTACATCATCAAGCACTGAAAAAAAGGAAGAGGAACCATACAATAAAATGCTTTCATACATTTTATGGAAGTATACTACAAAAACCAAACATTGTTTTGAGTGACATTTCCCAGGAAAATAGAAAACTAAAAGAGTTCCCACAATAAGTGACTAAGAGTTTCTTAAGGGGACACAGAAGATGACAGGTACTCTCCTCAGCTTGTCATAAGCAAATATAACATAGGAGAATCCAGTTTCTCAGTGGAAATATGAAATCTCACCCATTCCAACACTGCCATGAAGGGTGAACAGAAGTAACAGAGCAGGCAGATGATCACTTAAGGCAGGGGCCACACAGACTTCTGAGGGGTCTCTGAACTGGTACAACCGACCAGAAACTAATCCACAAGTATCAGCAGACACAAGAAGAGAAACCACACACAGAAAACTTATGAAGGCTATGAAAGTGTTTCACTCTACAATGCAAAACCACTGCCCAATTCCTGCTACCTGCTTTGCCCACCACTCATTATAATCAGTGCTTCCATTACCAGTTTCACCATGTAACTTAGCAAAGAAGTACCAAGTATGACTAGTCCTCCTACTTCCTCTAGAGAATTTTCTCAACTGAAACTTGTAAAATTATCTATACAATTTTAACACAGCTCTTCTATAATTACATAATTTCTCATAAAATTAATTACTGAGGTGACATTTATTACTAAACTGAATAAAGAACAGCCCACTTTGAGAAATACCGAGGAAAAAACATTTTCACTTACTATTAAAACAGTGCATCCACCTATCACTATATAATTAAGATAGGCAGAAGATCCTGTTTATAGTATGTGAAAACCAAAAAGTGAACAAACTATACCCATGTGTCAAAGTTAGTAAAAAAAATTCAGGAGAAGGAAAGGAAAAAGGTGTTTAAGGCATGCAGGTAGGAAAAACATGATTACAGATATGGCAGTTTTCTTTTTAAAAAAGAAACATTTTTATCCTCTTGAGATTAGAAATTAAGTATTTCAATACACCATGTCAAAATTAACTACATCAACATTTGCAAGCTCTTCTAGTACAAAAACTGACCTCTTGAAAAGAAATATCTATTTAAATTAACAATAAATAAAAAAGAGAAACATACCAACTTCAGCCCAAAATTGATGCCACCTTATAAAAAAGCATTTTCCTAAAGAAATATGGACAGAATCTCAATTTTATAAATATTTTTGTTTTCAAGTTCTGAACTGAAAATAATTTACTATAAGAAGTAGTAGAATTCAAAAACATCTTGACAGGGAAGTGTCTATATATACATATGTGCTATATTATAAACGTATGTGACATCCCCAAGAGCAGTTATGCTTATGAATTAATGCTACACAGCTTGTACAACTGTGGAGAACATTTAAAGAATTAAAATAAACCAAATAAAACTATCAATAATACAATACTGGTTTTTAAATGCGAGATCATAAAGAAAAAATCTGACATTGAGTAAGCAAAAAAGGTGGTTATTGCACACATATACTTCTGCTCCTATAAAAGCAAGATCTGGTGATGAAAGTACTTTTACCTTGCACTGAAATGCACAACTGCATTGCTGCCAGAGTACATGTAATATAAAAGCAAACAAACATAGCAGTTTTAAAAACAATACCCGTGATGCTATGCACTGAGACAATACTCTGTAGATCAGTTTATTTCCCATGTAGTGGACAAATCCAGTCAGTGTAATGATTTTTCCATGTGTTGAATAGTAAAATCAAACTCCTTATCTTCCCACAAGTCACTGTGAGAATAAGGGTCTTGCTATACCTCTTAAAGCTTTCAATTTAGATGTTAATTTTAGAAATTTGGAACTGTAACATCAGGGTCTTTTGCCATTAATAACAACGACAACACAACAAACGGCTAAAGAGCAGTGATTTGTAGAACAGTTCAACAACTCAGTTAAGGAAAAGAGTTTTAGTGCACTTTGCTCATTTTAGCCAACATGCTACATTGCCCTTTTTGTGTACGAAGTGGACTCATTGATTTCCACTGTAAGAAAAAAAAATTACTTGGCAAGCAAAACACTGTGTCAAGCTGCCCTTTTTTTCCTTAGACATTTTAAGACAGAAGCTTTGCAAGACATTATACAATTCTTTGCTTTTATTAAGTGAGAAAGTCTGATTTGTAATATTGCCACATTGCTAGTCAGAAATGCCTCAGTGATGAAAGTCAACGCTGGGTCAACACAAGGCCTCATTCTACAACATTCGTTTACAGAGAAATTATAGTGATTTTCAACACACCCAACAAAACATTCCTTGCTTCCTTCAGAACAGTCCCATTATTCTTCCTGTAGTGGGCATGTTACTACATAAATTACAATTTTTGTTTTTGGACAAAACATCCCCAAATCTTCATGAGAACAAATGGTCTTCTACAGGCATTACAGAAGTCTTCACACATCATCATCATCTGATGTATCACTGCTGCTTGTCTCAGAATCCTCATTCTCCAGAGCAGGTTTGAAAGTGCTGTTTTTCCAGGGGCTAAATTTAAAATTGCAGATGAGGCCATTTTTCAAAATGCCGTTTTTCCGAAGGCCATTTTTTTGTAACTGAAATGTGAAAACATGACACATTTAGAGAAAGAAAATGCCGAACACAACAATCTGCTGCAGTTCAACACTTTTTACATCTTCACCTCTGGGCTACGCTGGATCCACAGCTTTTCATATGTACAGAAAGGGTAACTCCCCTGCGAGCCTTCACCTCTGGCCAGCCACCTGTATTCCAGTATCTCCAGTTGTGCTGAACTCCTGCAGTCAATGAGAGCTCACCCTGTTCTCACCCATGTCCCCACACATCTTGCCCCAGAGATCCTTTCTCCCAAACGGTCTCTCCCTGCAATCCAGTCCCCTTTCCCATAGTGCTGCAAACATCTGCGCTAAGAAGGGCAAAGGGCAATAGGGAAGGGGCCCAGAAGAGATGTTGCAGAGAGGAATGGGTATCTCAGCAATTAGAAAGTCAAAGACACTGAAGAAAGGAAACAGCTGATTCTGAAAAAAAGAAAGGAATTATTGCATTTTTAAAACCACACAGAATGTGTGCACTAAGACAAGCACTTGAAAGTTTAGTATTCCGATATTAAATTATTAATATTTCCAATAATATTGGAATTACCAAATGTTCAGATTTAGTACCACACACTATTCTCCTTTCTGACTCCTTCTCACTGACCCCACCAGGTATACTCAACACTCCTAACAAAACAGAATTTAAAAAAATAAATTAAAAAAAATATTAAAAAGGAAAAATCACCCCTAGATTACCAGTTCCATACTTTGTTACTAGTAAATTAAATGTCTCTCAGTTCCCAAAAAAGAAAAGGCAGTTCTCAGAGTAGCATGGAAACTGAACAAAAGCCTTGAAAGAAGACTCTCTTTCCTTAGGCTAGGCTGAGGAGCTTGAAAGCCTGTGCACTTCTACCAGCAACAATACTTAGAACTACCCAGAAGTACACCCTACCCTTCCCTTGATGCTTTGTGAATAGGCCTGAGCTACAGTCAACATTGGTACATGATTTTTTGGAAGCAACTATACTTCTAAAAGCACAGTACTGAAATGGTAGTGGAACAGCAACATCCCTAATGATCAAAATTACTGCAGATCCTCCTCAAAGGAAGGCATCTAGGGTAACCAACTACAGGTTTATAATGGAAAATTAACTCAGTCTTACCTGTTCACTAATGACTTGAAACTCCCTCATCTCATCCTCAGTTAGTGGAGCACATGTTTCATCATTTTCACTGTCTTCCTGCCAGCCCATCTCCTTTAACAACCTTTAAATTAAGAAGGACAACATTAGGAATTTGATGCACACACTCAAACATTTCAAGCTCTGCCTACATACATGTCTGAAGACCTGTAACAAATGCATTGATTAATCAGCCAGTATTTTTTTAAACAAACTCTTAATGTGAGTTCAAAGCTTTGTAAAACGTATGTAAAGCACAGAAGCTGAGTTCTCAGGTCTCGAAGATGACCCTATTCTACCACCATACGTGGTAAAAAATATACCTTCATTCTAAGGCAAGAGATCTGTGTCAGAACAGTAAGAATGTATTTTGTTAACATAACTTAAAACTGCCAGTGAAGCAGCAATGTATTCACTCCCCTGAGAACAGTATAAAGAGACAAAGACACAATGAGGGACTCTGCAGGTTTTCTTCACTAACAAAGCAGAGGAAGGCATAAGGAATATTGGTGGTGTCCGTCGATGGAAACCAATTTAGGATGCAATGGCCTCATTTGATTTCTTTTTTATATCACATGCTAATGTCAAGAGCCATCTCAGGCTTCTTCAAAATTGAGTCTCAGCCCACAGCACATGCTGGTGTTTCAGCTCAAACAGCTAGGAGTGGATTTTGGGATAAGGGGAAGAAATGAGGAGAAGAAAGACTCCTCTCATAACTAAGCTTGAGATATACAAAGATGCAGTAATCAGCATGTTTTGGCTATTTCATAAAGAAGAATGGCAGTATCTGAGCAGGAACAAAATGGTTTTACATTTGAAGATGGTATGAAAACAGGGTCTATCTGAGGGTGAAGATTATGTAACATTTAACAATGAAGTTATTAAGTTTGCTCACTGCAAAGTTTTTGCCAAAAGGATTAGCACCCCTTCTTCAGGTAAACCAGCTATCTTTTGATCTTAAGCATTAAAGCAGACTAAAGCTATTTCACAAAAATCAAAGAGGTTTCTAAAATGTATGCCAGAGCTGACACTTAAGAGCTAAAAAACAGTGAATATATTAAAATAGTAAGACAAACTCACAGCTGACACCACATACCAGGCACTTCATTTAGGCAGATATAAGCAAAAAATATCTGTCAACACAATCCTCCCTACAAAGAACTCTATATCCCAATACAGTGGATGTGCACTGGGCAATTCTGCAGGGAACCAAAGCCACCAATGACCAATTTCAGAACCATAACAAAAGCCTGGAACTGTAGAAGGAGAAAAGCATTACTCTGCTTAAAAAAAAGTCAGTAGGACAGTAACAGCAATGGAAATTGTATTCCATGTTGCATTTGGACCAAATCAGAAAGCATAACAGGCAAGTACAACCATATCATCAGGATGAAGTAAAAATATACGCAAGTCATCCAAAACTCTAAGAGAATACACTGTACAGAAAAACACAATGCTAAATGCAGTTCAGTGATAGTTAGTTGAGTTTTAAGTTTTACTGCAAGCAAGCTCAGATATAAACACTGCATTCAGTGAAGTAAATAGTTACAGAGCTTCTGTTAATGTAAGTAAAATTTAGGGTAATAGCTAACTAACTTTAAATGTTATGTAATGTTAGGAGCACTACCATCCCTTTAAACTGACACCATTCTCACCATGGTTAGAAGTATGAACTACATAAAAAAATTACTTTGGATTAGCCAACTTGATAACAACAGGATTGCTTCATGTTGGAAACTTACCCAGCAGAAAGGAAGCCCTTTTGTACCAAGTGTGCCAGTACTTTTACTAGGTATGCAAAAGTAATCTGGAAGCTAAGGGGTGAACCATAGTGCAATTTACCACAAAAAGGCTAACAGTAACATGCATCCATATGTATGCTGAGCTCACAAAGTGCTGTGGCAGTATGGACACACAGCCTCTCTGGGAGAGAGACATTTGCCCAGAAATCCTAACAAGGCTATTTAAAGTTATTTGAATTGAAAAACTAAGAGTTAGATTTGACTTCCACCTGCCAGTCAAAAAATCATGACCCTCTAGTTGCCACAGATTTCACAGACTCCCAGAATACCCTGAGTTTGAAGGGATCCACAAGAAATGTGGCATCCAACTCCTGGTCCTCGACAGAACAACCTCAAGAATCATCCTATGTGACTGAAAATACTGCCCAAACATTCCTTGAACTCTGTCAGGGCTTGGTGCTGTGATCACACTCCCTGGGAATCCTGTTCCCATGCCCAACTATCCTCTGGATGAAGAACATCCTCTCTTTCTGAAAGTCACAGATTTTCTCCCTACAATGGCAAGCACCATTTTCCATTTTTGGTATTCCAAACTAATATTTGGCAAGTTGATGTCCCCCATTAGGACAGCAGCAGTTGATTTAGAGGTGTTCCTTAGCTCCTTAAAGGACAGTCAGTGTCATCATTCTGGGGGGGTGGCCTACAGTGGACTCCAACAATGACATCTGCTTTTTGTGTTTGCTCCTTAATCCTTATCCAGAGGCCCTTAACCCTGCCATCACCAGCCACAAGCTCCATATATTCTGTCCCGTTCATTAGATACAACACCACTCCCCCACCACACCTGCTGTCTGCACCTCCTGAGGAGCCTGCCACATCCACTCCAGTGACAGAACACTCCAGTGACACAACTCATCCCACCTGGTGTCATTTATGACAGTGATGTTGCCAATGGTGGGAAGAAAGGAACAGAGCAGGGTGCTTTGTACTCTTCATACTCAGCAGGAGTAAGAGGACATGAAAGTTTCTTCTATAGGCATGACAAAATGAAGAGTTGTCTAGTCCAATGTATAGACTCTATCACTAAGAAAACAAAAAAACCAAACAAATCTGTCTAAACCATAAGAATCTGATATAAGACTGGGTTGTGATTATCCAGCATCATCGTTCTCATATCTACCAAATGCTACTGCAGTTGGATTACTGGGATACTGAGATAAGAGAATTGTTTCAATCCTTTTCATGAAATTACTTTCTCACCTTCCAGTGGACTGTCTTGTGATATCACTAATAGTGTCAACAAGTCAGCTACAAAAATAATTAACTACTTTAATAATGATGAAAAGTTCACTGAAGTTTTATATAAGATGCAGCACTTAAAATATTTTAATACAAACAGCAATTACACACATTGTTCCTCCTAGACACCTAGACCAAAACCAGAGGGATGAAGTCACTATATAGTTTGCTGTACTCTTTATTAAGAAATAAACTGTCTTTACTTAAAAATTGGATGTAAGTCAGTACACAGGTCTAAGAAACAAAGTATATCTCATGTTAAATTAGTACAGATCTAAAAGATAAAATTTATGTTACTGAAGAAACATTTTAGACATTCTTAGTTTTCAGATTCTGACTTCTGAACCAGTAAGAATTTATGAACATGATCAGTTACCATACTCTTTATGTTGTATACAATACATACCTATGCTCTGCCTCAAGTGAGCTTGAAAGAACATTTGCCTGAGGGAAAGCTGAAGACTGAATGATCTGCTGAGGTGTAATTGAAGCATTGCCATTCTCCTGCAGAATCTCATTTTCAAAGTTTCGGTTTATATCTCTCTCACGATGAGGACTGTTGCTGTTATGAAAGCTGAAGGACTCATCATCCTAAACACAAAAATAATTTTACATTACAAAATTTTAAAGTGAATTCCATCCACATGTAAATATCCAGAAGTGCTGCAATTCAGTAGTTCTGTTTAGTTTAAATTAAGTTTAAATGGAGAGACTCTGTACTTCACGGGTAATTCTGTTCACCCTTCTGGCATTTGCAATACCTGCATGCTACAGAATTCCTGAGATACGCTACTGCAGTACCGTAAGTAATACAGAAAGCAACTCATGTGCTTTTCCCCAATTTTTTTTTTGTAAAGTCTAACACATATCTAAAAATTCAAATGTACTTCAGCTGTTCTTCATACTTACAGAAATAATGGGCTGTTGAATTTTTATTGTTCCTAATTAAATATCAGAGCAATATGTGGCAGAAGAAGTCTGAAAGCATATGAGTTCTCAAGTTTACTTCATCTAAGGGACAGGTCACAACACTCATATCTCAAATAGCAAATTCTCTGCAATTCAGGAAGACTGCATACTGCTCTTTAAATTCAGACAAGCTCCCTTACACATATGCATTTAACCCCAGCTTCTCAAGCTGCTGTGAACAGCAACTGTAAATTACTAAACATTAAATACAAATCAGGAAGAAAATTTATTTATAAAGCTGACTGTTCAGGTTCACTCAAAGATTAAAAGGTCTTTAGTCTATAAACATGAGGCATTTCTTTCCACTCTACTCATTCAGCAACTTGTAATTCATATTTATGAATGAGCCAAATAGCCTCAGAAGTCTTACCAACTGCAAAAACAAAGAAGAGTACAATCATTATCTAGTTAACACCTTCTCAATAACAAAATCCCTAAACTGGCATATAATAGCATTACCCATAGCAGGAGGAAATCATGCAATCTTCTGTACCTGTAAGAAATCATACTTCAGAGCACAGGGTCAACACCACCATCATTTCCCTCCCACTCTCAAGTTGTCTCCTTTCAGAAATATTAGAACAGTCAGCAAGACATTGTTAAGAACATATGTCCCAGTAAACACACATTCAGCTGTTACATTATATGCCTGAAGAATATGTCACATAATACCAAGAAAAATTTATAAATTTACTAAGCAGTTCTAATATATAGAGCTAAACAGCTTCTTCCAAGTGTGATTCAGCTGCTGAGTACAATTTGCCTCATTATTTCACAATTCAGAATCTCTAGATGATTCCTAAGATGTTTCTAATCTTGAATCAAAATCTTTGTGTATTTTCTGAACACACGAGCAAAGCTATCCCCAATATCCATCTCGGGGCACTCAGTCACAGAATACCTAAGGAAAAGATGTAGGCTTTTCTTAGTTCACACGTACAGCTAAGTTATACAGTCCCATTACAGCAAACTGCATTTTGCCTGAAATAGGATCAGGGTCAGAAAAGTCAATCTCAATTTTACGAGTAATGTACACTGGCACTGTTTCCTTTTTAATATCTCAGAAGCCTAATATCACTTCCTCAAAATCACTTGTTTATCTGGCTGATTTCTAATTCATGGGATTTTTTGTTTTAATAAGACATTTTAAACCACTCATTTACAGCAAACACCTCATTCTGAATAATAAAATACTTATTTTCACTTGGACTACGATAACTTGTATGATAACTTGGTGGCTGGTAGCATTTGACACAAATATTCTCTAGTATCAATTGAACACTGCACAAATTAATTCAGACTGAAAGAAACCTGATGCATATTATACACAGCCATTATAGGCCTTCAAGTTCTCAATTAGTTAGAACCAGTGGTTTATACATATACTGAGATGTTGCTCCTATGATTAGACCAAGAATAGAAAACTGCTGCCTACCTAAACACTAATTAGAAAGGAAATGGTTTGAGAAGCAGAACAAACATTTTTGTTTTGTAGGGTAACTATCAGCCAGCGTATGAAACACTGCCCTCCACAAGTCTGTTGGGAATAGGTGGGATTCACACAAGAGTACAGAGGGAGCTGGCAGCTCACTGAGCTACTTTCCATCATTCACTAGCAGCCCTGGATTACCAGAGAGGTCCCAGGCCACTGGAGGTTGGAAAATATGATGCTCACTTACAAAAAGTATTGGAAGGAGATTCCAGGGAACTACAGGCATGCCACTCGCCGTGGTACCAAGGAAGGTCATGGGACAGATCACTGTGAGTGCCACCACACGGCACATGCAGGACAAAGAGGGGATCAGGCCCAGCAAGCACAGGTTTGGGAAAGACAGGTCCTGCTTGGCCAACCTGATCTCTTATGGCCAGGTGGCTGCTTAGTGGATGAAGAAAAGGTTGTGGATGTTCCCTCCTTGAACTTCAATAAAGCCTTTCTTTGACACCATTTCCCAGAGAATTCTGCAGAAGCTGGCAGCCCATGGCTTGGACAGCTGCACTCTTCATTGGGTAAAAAGTGCCTGGATGGCTGGGCCCAGAGGGTGGTGGTGAGTGGAGCTATATTCAGCTGGTGGCTGGTGGGGCTCCCCAGGGCTCAGTACTGACCAGTTTATCAATGATTTGACAAGTGCACCTCAGTCAGTTTACAGGTGACACCAAAATGGGTGGGAATTCAGATCTGCTGGAGGACAGGAAGGCTCTGCAGAGGGGTCTGGGCAGGATGGATCTGCACAGGCCAAGGTCACTGGTGTGAGGTTCAACAAGGCCAAGTGCCAGGTCCTTGGATCTCAACAACCCCAGGCAGTGCCACAGGCTAGGGCAGAGTAGGTGAAAGGACCTGGGGGTGCTGCTGACAGCAGCTGAACATGAGCCAGGCTGTGCCCAGGTGGCCAAGAAGGCCAATGGCATCCTGGCCTGGATCAGCCATGGTGTGGCCAGCAGGGCCAGGGCAGGGATTGTCCCCTGTACTGGGCACTGGTGAGGCCACAGCTCCAGTGCTGTGTCCAGTGCTGGGCCCTCAGTGCAAGAAAGACACTGAGGAGCTGGAGAGAGTGCAGAGAAGGGCAGTGGCGCTGGGGCCGGGTCTGGAGCACAAGTCCTGAGAGGAGCAGCTGAGGGAGCTGGAGGTGTTTATCCTGGAGAAAAGGACGCTCAGGGGTGTCCTTATTTCCCTCTACAACTGCCTGAAAGGCCAGGTGGAGGTTGGCCAACACCATGACAGGACACAAGAAATGGCCTCAAGTTGTGTCAGGGGTGATTCAGGTTAGATTCCAGGAAGACTTTCTTCACAAGAAGACTTTCTACCACATGAATGGTAGTCAAGCAGTGGAATGGGCTGTGCAGGGAAGTGGCTAAGTCACCTTCCCTGGAGGTATTTAAAAGCCATTTAGATGTGACACTTGAATACATGGTTTACTTGCATATTTGATAGTACTGTTAAAGGCTGGACTCGATCTCAAAGGTCTTTTTCAACATAAATTCATGTATAATTAGGTTTGTTTACTAACCCTAATTTATCCTTTTTATTGTTGCTAAAGACACAAGTACTTAAGTCATGAACATGCACTAACAGATACTGCAGAAAGACAAAAAGAAACTACGAAGCAGCACTGGAGAAAGAGTAGTACTTGGAACAATGTTTTTAAATTCATCAAAAGGTAATTCCTTTCCTTCATTTAGGGATCCAAGACCATTACTTAACAGCTATTTACAGCAAAATAAAAAGTAGTTTATAGTTTGTCTGAAACCTACTGGATCTACAGTAAGTATGAACAGAAGTACCTTCTCTTGCCCATCATGATTCTCATCTTCATGTTCTTCTTTCACTCTATCTCTTCTCAGTGTTTTCAAAAATTCACTTTTCTTATCAGTCCGCATTCTTGTCAATTTTGTTAATCGAAGCTGACCAGATTTGTCAACAGGGGATGAAGAATTTGACCGATTACACTGGTGAAGGAAGTCAGAAAAAGAAAGGATGTTAGAAGTGTGTTCATGCAGAAAATTTTAATTAAAGACACAGGTATCTGTTCTTTCAGGTTTCACATGTATTCAGAGTCAAAAGTAGAGGGAAGATCTGTATTTTGGTATACACAGTTTGTAGATGTAAACCCAGAGATGCAGGTTTATGGAGCACTGCTAGTGAACAGTGGGCCTTCTGAAACATGTAACACCTTTAGCAGTTTTGAAGTCTAAATGTGTCAGGCTGTATTTTCTAATGTGGGTTTTTATTCTAAATCAAACCCACAAAGAAAACTGCAGTACTTTAAGGCTGGTGATGTGCATTCCACCTTTCCCGTACGTTAAGTTCCAAAAAAACATATTTAATACAATTCTGTATAAAATTTACTGCCCATCCTCACTTAAGCATATTAAATGTTTTATAAATTTAACTACAGCTACTACTTTACCTCTGTCACTGAATTCTGTGTTACACCAAATGCCTTGACAGTTGATTTGAAAGGACTGAAACAGCCAACACCATATGCAGATTCATGAGGAAATGCATTCCCAAGTTTATTTTCTTTTGCTTGGCTTTTCCACTGTGTGAGCTAGACAGAAGAATAAACAGAGATGTAAAGAGTCATTAACTACAGGATTCTTTTCAAGAATCTTCATAAAAATGATTGAGCAAAAGCAAATCATAACTGCAACCTTAATGTAGTGCAAACATCTGTTTTCTTGTGAAAAAGAGGCTGTTTATGAGCAATTCATCTGCTCATAAATACTATTCACGCTGTTTATATAAAAACTGAAATTTCAAAACAATTAAGATCCTCATATTTGAGGTAGTGGAAATGAAATATGGGACTTCCAACAGCATTACTTTAGATTCAAAATGTTACAGAGTTAAGAACTAATCTATCATATGTTCTCAAGAGCACAGAAAAATTCCTGAAACAAAAACAGAGATGAAGCCAGTGAGAATACCTCAGCCCAGGTTAGAGCCTGGTAATAATGCCAGTCGCGGCTTTTAAGTCCATATGGATCATTCACTTAAGAGCTTGGTGATTCTTGTGGGTCCCTTCCAACTCAGAATAGTCTGTGATTATGCATTTGGGAAGTTGCATTTGGAAAGGGACTAGAACGACACTCCTAAGTTATAATGTCATGTCTAACTGGGATAAATTCTGATGGTATTATTATGCTGACTATACCTCTCCACAACATACCTAATTTTGTTCTGTTGAAATCATACATACAAAAGGGACTGCTATTCTGTAAGTTTAAAACACCATTTTTACTCTCATTTATACAGCTGCTGCTCTTCTCAAAAGCAGTAGATGGGAAGCAAAGAGTGACTAAACTATAATTTAAAAATAAAAATGCAAAAAGGTTGTTTCTATTCATTTTTGGTGTGTGTTGCATTTTGCAAGTGTTGAATGCATTATAATCTAGACACAGTTTTCTCAGGGATGAAATAAACACATTCAGAATCACAGCATGATTTTTCTAGGCATGTTTTTCATAACACTGATATCCAATACTCACCTTTGCAGGTGGAGTGACAGGTTTGGGGACTAATCCTTTATAAACACTCGTGCTAGTTCCATTCCTTACTGGTTGTGAGTGAACACTTCCCACTACTGGGAATCCAGATATCCGCAGCTCTTTTGCACTGCCTTTTTTAATAACCAGCATTCTCTGAGATCTAGATTTAGGATTTAAAGGGTACTCTGGAAGAAAAAGAGAAGTGTGTATGTATATAGATGTGTGTATGTGTGTGTGTACCTGTGTACATAACTCACTAGTTTTTAGTTCATAAGGTACTGGCAGCCATATGATCCAGAGCAAACAGGCATAAATCAGGAACTTAAATCACTATTAGTTCCACAAATAACATACTGTGCAAACCTGGAAAAACACAGGTTCTGTTCCATTTTCTACAATCGCAATTTTAAAAACGTTTCACTTGGCAATGCAGGAATTGCACTTTTTGAAAGAAAATACATTCTTCAAGGAAGCCTGCTACACACTTCTAGAGACTGCTGCATAGTGATTCTACAATCAAAATACTGTTAGTAGTTGATAGTTACTCAAACTTCAAGGGGGTTTATGGCTTTCATATTCAACTTAAGGTTTCCTAAAGGATAATTAGTTATAGATTTGTTAACAGCTCAGTTTAGAGCTCTGCACTGAGGTTCTATAAACATGAGACAGGATGTGCACTACACATTAGACCATGGCAATGACAGTTTCTCTAGCTCCATGCTTCAGATGGGTATAACAGGACAAAATTTCCATGTTCATTGGAGAACAAAGTAGGAGACACACAGTCAGCCATCAAACTAGAGAAATTGCCATTTAGCAGTGTCAAGGAACATCCATTAAAAACAGTTCTAAAATTTTCAAAAAGTAAAAAGATATATATTTTGTATATGTCTTATATATATTATATATATTTATTTATTATGTATATAAAAATATGTATTTTGTATGTTAAGAGCCTTTCCAAGGATTATCTCCTCTCCCTGAAAGCAATTTTACTTCACAGTCACTACAGCCTCTGTTTAAAACAAAAAACAGCAAACCCTATCTTAAAGGAATACAAGACTTTTGCTTGTTTAGCAGGTAGATGCTGCAAAATTGTTATCATAACTGTAAGCTTCATTCTCATTAAAGCTCATGACAAGATTTTTCAAAATATTTACAGGCTCCCATCACATATACACAAAGTACAATGGAATCTAAGAGATGCCTACATTTTTAACAGATATTAGAAGGGATTGTAACACTCCTCTGTCCTGAGTATTTTTTCCTTCTGAAGGGAATAATAACAGCCTTAATTTCAGTTTTTCAATTACAAACAAGACTCTTTTATTGAAAGAGAGATTAACACAAAACCAGAAAGCTGTCCAATTATTTATGATGCTGCGAAGTTTTACAGCAACTAGATATTTATATTGAGGGGTTGGCCTATATCTAATATTACTTTAGTGTGTAAAAAATACTGGTTAAATATGACAAAAAGAATCAGCAAATTGAAATACCTTTAAAATCTCAGTATTAGCAGTAGTTTAAGTAGACAAGCAAAAGTTTGCATGTTTTATTATTTTTTTTTAATAAAGAGAAATATTCTTAATTTGAGTATATTTACTTTAAAACCTCTGCCATCTAAAGCTACCACCTTCTTAGGGGTAAACAATTTACTATGTAAAGCCCATTAAAACTGTGAAGTCTTAGCCAAACATAATCAGGTGAGGATGAGAAAACAGTCCCAACTACAGGTCTGCTCAATATCCATGCTCAGGATTCTATTTATACATATTCATACAAATTATACACAAACACAACCAACAGCATAAGACACTTGCTTCCAGAAACAGACCTTAAATCTCTGCAAGCTAACCTACTCTTTCTTCCAGCTCTCCCAGGTTTCTCTCCAAATTCTTCCAACACATTTTATAAAGCCTTCAGCTAGCAACCAATACCACTAATTTATGGGACCAGCCCTCATTGCACTTCCTCTTGAAAATAAAGGTGAAGATTTCTTGACATCTTTACAAAAAAGATGTATAATTGTTCTGGGAAAGAGTATTAGTTGTGGCAGCATCTAGAGACTAGCTGACTGATACTCATATGGAAGTGTTATCCTTTAACAAAAAGGTACCTACGTTGTAATAATATTGAAATCTTCTCAATCTGTACCTTTATAGTTCTAAAAAGAGGCTCATGTTTCAAATAAAACAACTTCAGATCTCTGTTATGTTTTTGCATTTAAAAACATCAAAAATACTCACCCCACACACCTGCAGCTAGAGATTTATTCTGGTTTGGTTCCCTCTCATATTCAGGATTTAAAGATGGCTGAAAGAAAGTTTTGTCATTATTTAAAAAGTAACCCTTGAATTGTAGGATGAAAGAACTAAAGAATCACAGTAACACCAGCAGCATGACCTCAGCTGACAGCCTAAACACCTCCCCCATGAACCAAGCAGGACAATGCTCACTTGTTCCTCTTCTCCAACAAAATATCTCAAACAACAGTCAATGCCATTACATGACAGCAGAAGAGGAAGCAAAAAAACAGCAATGTATGTTTCTTCAAAGAGTGAGATTACCCTTCCCCTTACATCCTAGGTGTAGGTTAAAGCATGAGAGGTCAGAAGGCCACAGGCATGAAAATTATTTACTATTTCAGATTCTAATAAGGTAACTGTGTTGAATTTAATACCTACACATACCACAGCAGATGGGAATCCAACTGTAGCTTCACTTAATACACAAGCAATAATAATAAACTTTTAGTGGAAAATCTGGATATAAAATGAGAAACAAGTTATTGGACATACTACTAACACTCCCTTACCTACAGAAAATTCCTTACATGATAATCTGAAACTGGTGAAATCTCATGAAGTGACTTGTAATGGAAAAAATGCAGACAAAATGAAACCCTTTTAATTGTAATTACAATTTACTTACAAAATCCTCAGCCTCAAACTGGTTGGGTACTTCTTTGTCTTCCTTTTTGCGGGTTTCATTATCAAGTACACTGTTTTCACGCAGTCCCTGGCCTTTTCCACAATGGAAGGTGCTGCTATGAGTTCGGGAGCCTCCACCATGGTACCCTCCACGCTGGTTTATATTTTCTGGACCACTTCTGCCTTGTGAACGCCAACCATTCCTCTCTTTTCGCCCAAAATGCCCTTGGATTTTTAAATTTTAAAGAAATGTAATTACAAACCATTTAAAAATATTTTACTCTGCAGAATTGTTTAAAAAGTTAAATCACGAACTCTATACACTGGGATATGGCAGCATAGGAAACAAGTTTCATTCACATAAACAGCAGGGAAAGGATCTCACAAAACATGCCAGAGAGAAAATAGCCAGCCAATGCTACAACAAGTCAAACCCTTTTTCTGGCTACTCATTTACATGCTCTTGGCTAGAGTATTAACTCAACACTCTTATTCTACTCAAGAGAGAAATACCCCTGGAATCACATTACGTCAACCAACCCTTAGTGCTCACATCCCAGATGTGTCTTTCTGTTACCATTCTTTCACTGCAGAAAAATAATTTAGAACACATGAGCTATCATAGGACTTCCTTCCTAGCTAGTGCTACAAAGGAATGACACAAACGTATTCACAGTGTTCCATAAATTATACCTCCATTTGGCCTTCCAGTGCTAGGATCAAACCCTTCTGAAGAATTGTGTCTTCTGCGATTTGCTTCATAACGATTCTCTGTCCACGAAAAATTTTCAGAATGTTTCTCAAAATTCAGTGATGACTGCAAAGGAGCATAAGTGGTAGACCTGAGATCTGATTAATAACTTAATCATCAGAACTGTAACATGCACATTGTTGACAGTATATATAATTCATTCTTAAAAGAACTTTGAAGGACAGACAATGCTGCAGTCCTCACATGCAGAGCTGTGTCACCATCTCTCAGGCTAACAAGGACATCTTCTGCTCCAGGACACTGAAACAGCCCTTAAGTCATATGCCTGTGACACAAGGTAGGAAGAGTCTACTTTGTTTTGGCAGCAAAACAGAGCACAAGTGACATGTGTTGCAGAAGTAAAAATTTTTTTAAATGTAAGTAAAGGACAAAAGATCACAATTTGGAAGGCTGAGAAGAAGTCTGGGATCTTAATCTGGATTTTCAGAGACTACAAACAGGCATTCTATAGAAAGCAAGGAATCCCTTCCACCCCAGGCAGCTATACCCAAAAAAAGCCTAATTCATTAATCTTTTCATTACAACTTAAAAAGGCAAATACAAGTAGTTATGAAATACTAATAAAATCTAGACTCAGAAGTGTCCAGATTCACACAGATATCATATTTCCAGTTTATAAGCACACATTAGAGAAATTTTAAAGAAATAAATCTGTAATATATCAGTAGGAAGCAGTAAACTAAAATCTTATATTGAGAATAGCACCAAGAAATCAAACCACATCCTGACTAGAATTCATACCTAAAGGGATTAAACCAAAAAACATCTTTCATTACGCAACCCATGTCTTCCTTATAACTTCTCTCTGGGTGTACCCTTAAAATTACTTCCTTCTTCCTGCCTAACCCACAGAGGAAATCACACACACAAAAAAAGATCCCCAAAGTTCTATGGAAAATGCCCCTGTAGAGCTCAAGGTACTATTCAATATTCACTGCTTAAATTTAAACTCAAATAAATAGATATTTAAAAATCAAAGCAGGTATTTTTAGATTGTCAATTTTTAGAAGTCAAATGTACAGGGACTACCCTCTCAATCTGAGACCTGGGACATTAATTACTTGACAAACTCTCCTTGGAGAGAGCAAAACCAAAGACTGCAAAAAATTGTTAAAACAAAAGTAGTTCAAAAATTACCAAATTAATCTAGATATTTAAGTGAAAGAAAATTCTTAAACAGATTTCGACCGAGCTGCCAAAAATTTCAGAAAGCGCTAGATCTGCCAATCTCAGGAGAAATTTTGGAAGACACTTCATGTGTTCATTTACGTACAACAACAATGACAGCATTTTATTTATTGTGCTCGAGTTGTACATGCTATAATGAATCTGATGCTTCTGAACAGTATGCAAAGATCATGCAGTTTGCATTTTCCCCACATGATGGAGATACCTGCCTATGAAGCCTCCTGAGGCAGATATACCAGTAAGCTTTGTAATCAAAAGGAAATTTATGGGCAACTTCTGTAAGTTGAGAAATTATCTGACTCGGTTCAGTCAATAAATAAAAAGGGATAGATATAATATAAATTTTAAGAAATATAGGAAGTCTAACTGCTTAACAAGAAGTAAAAGTGAACTTGTAAAATTGACTTTATCCATCTGCAATGTTCCCATACCCTTTTCACAGAAATACTTTCTTGAAAGTTCTGTCCACGTCCCAAAATGGTTTCACTATTCACAACACCTTCCCATTCCACGTGCCTATCTGCAATACTGCACTGACACAAACACATTAGCTCCAGACCTGAACAAAACCCACTGACAGATACACACCTATTTAGGTGCATTTTGCTGCGTAGTTGACAGAAAGATGAGAAAAGCTTGCTGTTAAATGGAAATCAGCAGCAATAGATGAGATGGATTTCAATCAAGCTACAATCTGCATGTCACACTAAACAGCTCATTCACAATCACAGTTTCCTGGTAGCAGGTTTCTACAATGCCAGCCTTGAGCTATGTAAGGAAAAACATCTCAGCTACCAAGGGCTCAGGGGTCCTGTAGGTGTAATCCCTGAAAGTGATTACACTTCAGGAATATAAAAACTGATCTAGCAGAGCTCAGTTTCTACTTCTTCAATGTTTAAAATGTCTAAATGTTGTTGATACCACAACCTCACCCTAGCTCCATTCTCCATGAAACATGAGACACCTTGCCTTCCTCACCCCTTCCTCTTCACCTCCATCCTTCTTACCTGCTGTTCTCTTCTGCTTTTTTGATATGCAGCAGAAAATAAGTCTGTTTTACGAAATAGAGGATACAGGGAGCAACAACACCTGCGACCTGTCTTGTGGAGGAATCACAAGTCTTATTCTGTAACCTAAGAACTACAAACAGACTTCTCAAGCACATAAAATGCAAATGTGCTGTGTATCACAAAATGCTCACCATTGAGGGAGCAGGTAACACAGGGAAATAAGGTGCATTCCAACAATGGGACACAAATATTACAACAGAGTAATATATACAACATGGAGTTTTTGAAAGAGAAGAAAATCTAAGTAAACTCCATAAGGCAAATAATCATGGAAGAGAACAGGAAAAATACATTTGCAACAAAATGTCACACAATTCAGAAATGAGGTGACAAATACAACCCATACCTCAAATATATTCTAATGGTGCTAGAGTACTTCTGGAACTTTGTTTTATCCTGCTATATTGGCATATAAATACATACAGGTAAAGCTCTTGCAGCAGACTCTCTAAATACATAGTGAAGATTGTTTTGCAATTGTGACACCATATCAACTAAGCTCCAAATACTTTTCCAATTTAAAACATATTACATTGAAAAAAATCAGATCAAAAGAGCTGAATGCATCAGAAATCATAGAGAATGAAAACAAAGAGACTGCTTCTTAATTTGAATTTTCAAATGCTATGTATACTATGTAACAGATAGGCTTTACATTCCCAGAAACAAACTATACTAAACAAAGAATCTAGCTAGGTCAGGGTAGAAGAGACATAAACAGAGTGATATAAATAAGGACATTCAATGACCTGACTAAAAAAAAATGTGTTTATAGTTGTGTAGACATACAGAATCAAAGCATTAGGAACACAATTAACACTGCCATCTATCTGTGCATTTAACAATACCACAAGCCTATTGCCATAAATTTCTCAAGGCTAAGCATTTCCCATGTAGATTATAGACTCCACAAAGTCTATATGTTACAGAAAAGCAAAGCAATTCTCACAGAAGCAGATATAAATATTGAATTCAAACTATTATAATGAAGATAGGTCTACAAATTGAGAAGCAGATAACAGGAGTTTTAATACCCACTGCTGACTCTGTTTCTGCATTTGCACAAATTAAGAAAGAGCAGAAAAAACATTTCTCCTATAGACATACTCAAGATTTCCAGGAATATTTAATAATTCTAACAATTAAACGAGATTATTATTTCCAAGCTGTGCCATTACATAAAGTAACAGCAGTCTAAATGAAACAACCAGAGTGAAGATGTCTAACAGTATCAAAGTACCACACTCCACCAGTAGCAACAAGCATTCCACCATCAACTGCAGAGCCATTTCAGAAAGTCTAAAAAAAGCATAGTTTTAATCACTTGGATGACAGAATACTCCTTTAAAATTTACAGGACACAATTAAAAATCAGAAGCAAGAACATCAAGTACATGCTCTGTCTTGGTACTTCTAGCATGGAACACAGTAATTCATTTTAAACACCTGAAGAAGGCAATTTTAAACCAACCACAGCCAAGGCCAGATATGTGCTTCTCTCCACGAACTAAGCTGCTCAAGCAAAAAACTCTACTGGAGTCATCTGTCATCAAAGTATTCATGAAGAGATTCACATTTTTACTGTGATTGAGGTTATGACATTTAGACTTCCCTAATAATGAAAGTGCCTTTTCAAAACAATAATACAAAACATACCTTTGTTGATGATGGTGGAGTAGGAAAATTAAGCCAGGCTGGAGCAAAGTCATGCTGCGCCATTTAGGTCCAGTCTCTCCGAATCAATGAAAAAAGGCTTAGCACCTCATGGCAAGTCCCTGTAATCAGAAGAAAATGAATCAGTCCTTTCAGATGCTTACGTTACAAGGGGATTACACTTCTCATCTCTTGCTCAGTGTTTCACTTCTGTTTTCCCATATTATTTTCCTCACCGATCTAAATTAGAATCTAACTATCATCATATGATTTACAGCATCACATCTGTGTTTTTATTACTAAAGTGTCACATAAATATATCACAGGAATTATGAAAATATAAATGTAATATTTCTTTATTTCCTCCTATAAATGGGATGAAGCATCTTGTGTAAGGTCTGATCGAGAACACTATGGCAAAACTAGCTTGCTGAAAAACATTCTGGTACTATCTAGAAGGGAGTTGGCAAGCTATTTTATTAGCTTCCTAGAAGCTGATATTTTTAATTAATCCCTAACAGTTAGTCTCAGCAGCCATATGAAAGTTCCTTATGAAAAACCTACATACTTGGGCTCATCACAAACCTCACAATGTGTCTAGCTTCAATGGAAACAGAGTCTACATGTCCAGAGTGTCCAGTAAAATCTAGTAAAATCTAGTAAAATTCTCTAGTTTGAAAATGGGCCAAAGAAGGTAATGGTTTATGACTAAAATCCACAAATACTTTTTCTACCCAACACTCTTCTCACAGATAAGAAAATATTTCTCAATAAGCAAAAGAACACATGGTAATGTGAACTATATTACCTGAAGCTGAACTGTAGTACAGACAGGAAAGAAATGGATTAAACACTTCCTGGATTCTACTAGGGCAACCAGATCATGCTCTGCAGCTAGTCATGGCAAAATGCTCAAGGACTCGAAAATTTTTTTAAGTATGATATACAATCATACTTATAAATCCAGCTCATGAAAACATAAAAAACACCCACACACATTCTATAGGGAAGCCCAAATAAACGTGAATTCCACATCTCTGCACAGCAGAGTGCAAATCTGTTATTGAGCACAGATGTAATTCACTTTAATCTACAGCTGCTGTAATGTATTAGTAAGAGATGTGGAATCTGAACTTGGTAACTCATAATTATGGTTGTTCTCTGGCCTGAATCAGAATATTGCAGGCTACTGCAGATTTCCAGCAACAGACAAGACTGTTCTAGCTCCTAAAAGGAAGTCTAACAGATTTGTTAGATTTAACTTAGTGTAAAAGTGTACTTAGTTGAGCTGCTGTTTGTTTTTAATGGCATGTGCTCATATCTAAGTTTGTGGGTACATCCAATACCATATTTAAACTGTAAGGTAGGATTTAAAATTACTACAGTTAAATAGAGACAAGGTTAAAGGGATGTCTCACCCAAATAACTAACTTCAAATTACTCTGCTGAAGTCGTTCAACTCACTGATACACCAACTTCAAGAAAAAATCCAGAGAAATTTTCTAAGTATTTCCAGTTATATCAAACTAGTAAAATATAAATGAACAAAATTCTGGAGTCAATGAACCATCACAGAAATGGCTTCTCTTTCTAAAATGAACCATGTTCATTTTTACTGATATATCCCATTCAGCAACAGTATACAAAAGGGTATATTTTTACACACAAACCAAGAGATGTTAGATTAAGAAACAACAAATCAGAGCAGATTCCAGCAAGAAAAAAGTTTATTCCCCTTCACTTGGACACAGTTCTCATCTTCAAGCAGAAGAACCATGATATCTTCAGAAATTATCAAGACAGATTTTCAGTACTGAAAGATTGACACAATAACAACAAAGTCTTCAGACTGAGGCATTTACAGTCTGAAAAACAATGAGTTAGATTAGGTTTATACTAAGTAAAGATTCTACAAAGTATTACCAAGTTATTGGTGCATCAGCTATTAATTACAGGACAGAAAATCCACTAACAATGTAACTTAATAGATTTATATTACTGTTTTTAGAAAACTAGTCAAGCTTCCTTGTTTATGCAACTGCTACGAGAAGAGTTTGTTATTAATTCACTAACATACTTACCTTTTATCCTTTGCACAAAAGACTGGGTGATCACCAACTATCCAAGGACTGGAAAAGGTATTTTGCAAAAAGACCTTTTCCCACAGCTCACTGACATGGGCTGCCTATTTCTTCATGCAAAAACTTTTCTAGAAGCAGATTCAAGTCTTCCTCATGTTCTCAGCTAAAAAGGCTCTGAAAAATTTTTTGATAGTGCTGCTCTGTCAGATGAGTCAGTCCTTTTCTTAGAAAGAAATAAACTTAAATGGTAAAGACAGAGACTTGGGCCAAAACTACAAAATACTCAGAGCCAAGTCAGCAACAGAATATATATGTAAGTTTCAATAAACCTATAAAAGACAAACTTTTAGGGCTAATTATTCCAAATAGTTTTAACATAGAAACAGCAAGAAAAAAAGCACAGACGTATTTCTAGAACACTACAGGACCAAACTCAGAGGTTTGCAGTTAAGCATTAACATGAAAAACAACTCCTGTGGATACTCCACACCAAACTCAAGAAAACATTTTTTTCACCTAATTGTAGGTATGCCTGGTCTAGCAATTAGACATGGGAACAGAGAGTTCTTTCATTATTAAACCTCTCTAACTTTGAATAGGCACAAACATCCCAGTCCTAATTAAACAGGGAAACAAAGGGCAGGTCAGGAAAAGATATTTTGAAACTGTATTAGAGGACAGAGCCTACCCAGCTTAAAGTTACTGGTTCCATGTTTTACCAGGTTTCATAAACATTCTTACAGATGCTAGCTCTCTGATGTTGCAAACAAGTTTGCCCTATATATAAAAAAAATATTAAAAGCATGATCTCTGTTCAAATGATCTGACACATATTTGATAGCTCTAGGATATTCTTCATTCTCAGGAAGGTATTTGTGATAAACTGAAAACAGATCACAAACATAAGAATGGGATGTCAGCAAGGCACCTCTACTGCCACAGGCAGGCTTTACTAAGCTTAAACCCTTTGTGATCAGCTTGGCTGCCAACACTAGTGTGTTTCTTGCTTGTTTTCAACTTAAGCTGGACCAACAACTAGCAAATTATACTGCAACACATTCTAGCACTAAAAAGGTTCTTTCTACCTTCTTTCGCTGCTATTCAGGTCCCCTACATAAGCTATCCCAAAGAGTCAGAGACACTGCATTCAGAATGCAGAGAATCTGCATTCTGTGTATTTCGCTGCTATTCAGGTCCCCTACATAAGCTATCCCAAAGAGTCAGAGATACATCTGCATTCTGTGTCCACAAAAGCATTTGCAGCCTTTATTCAGACACATACTACATACTACTTTTAAATTAAAAAAAAACAACATTGAAAGATTTGAATAGAATGAATGTCAGTAGCATAAAATTGGTTTTATTACACTGACATGAAACTATGTATCTACTACTAGCAAGTCTTCTCCTGCATACACACCACACAAACTGTTCAGTAACACTAATAAAGCAACTGATGCACTCCGAGCATTAACACAGCTATCAGAAGTAAACTTAGTGAGGTGAACACCACAGAGACAAACACAATTCCAGGGCTTTCAGAAACTCTCCTGGTAACAAAAGAGCAGGCCCAAAATTTATCATGAATGTTTAAGCCACCATTCCCTATTAGCACAGATCTGCCATTCTTCAACTGAACTGCGGCAAAAGCTAACTTGGCTCAGACTCTCGGCAACTGAAGCAGAGCTGCACAATTCTAGAAAGGTAAGAAAAAGATACTGAAATACTGCTATCCTCATACTATTAACACTCAAATACATTTAAAAGTCTTTAGTCAGGCTCATCAAACTCTTGTCTCATCTCAGCAATAGCCTCTTGTGACCAATTCAAGTAATGTGTAGTGACCTCAGTAACAAAAGTCTTCCATAGCCCATACCTTTAGATAAAAGTAATGTGTTGCTGTGCTGTGGATAATAGAATAGTTTAGTGCAAAGAAATAAATCCTGTTCTTAAGTTTTACATCTTGAGGGGGGGGTGGATCTGAAAGAAGTCTGTAAAGAATTTTGCTTTAAGTAACATGGAGTAATTAATCCAATATTCAATGAAATAAAATTTACTTCTGAAGTTTTGTGAAGTATGAGCCTCAATAAAAAGGTAGTGGCTGCCAAGGAATAATGAACAGCTGGTCCCAGATTATATACAGTGAAGAGATTTGTCATAAATATTACCCAGTCATCTACTTTGAGCCACATTTGCAGCTGAAATAAGAACACTCCAGCAAACGCACTCAACCAACATACAGAAAAGGTTGGGCTGGGCTTTTTTCTATGATTTGAGTCGACAAGGTTCTTTTGTGACAGAAATTATCTTTCACCAGTAGAAAACCCTATATTCTGAACGAATTTGTGCTATCTGCACAGCATCTGGGAAAAACTGATGTATAGTCAAATTTTACAAAAATAAGTAACATGCTACGAGAAGGGAATCAGAAAGCTACTGCATGAATCAGGAGTCAAGACTTCTGGGAAAAGGCTAAGAAACAACACCTAGGGTCAACACACAAACCTGCAAAAGCAACAAAAATTAAGCTAAAACAAGTACCATTGGTTTATCTTGTGCATACCAAATTAAATGAAGAAATCAAACATTAAAGACTATAGTCAATTTTTCTCACACTACTACATTTTTCTTTTTAAATTCACATAGAACAAGTGAATCACACTTAAGAACAATAACACAAGGATTCAAGATTTTACTTGATGCAATAACAAACTATTTCAGTGATCAGGGACATGAAAAATCTATCTGGCTTACTTTGCCTCACAAAATGAAGACATAAGATGTATTTAAAAAGTGGTTATGAACATGTGAAGGAGAAAATTTCAGCAAGAAAGCAGATGTGTTAATCCAAAACATCACCAGAATCAAAGGATATCAATCACAGTATATTGAAGGTGGACAGACACATGGTGCTGAAGATCAAAGGAACAATATTCTTAAATAGCTTTAAGACTTAGACAAATATTTGAACCTGTCGATTTCTATTACACTTCTAAACCAGACCCCAATAATTGTAACTGAAGAGTTTAACATGCAGGGTG